GCCCTTCCGGTGGTTGTAGCAGCCGTCCAGAAAGCAGGACTCATAAAAGGGCAGGGGGTCCAGGAGGCCGTAGCAGGGCTGGAAGAAGCCTTTCATGTCCGTCAGCTTCAGGCAGTAGCTGTCACTCTGCAGCTCCTGGATCTGGACATTGTCGCAGGAGGCGGCGTACTGCGAGTACTGCAGCTCGTTGCAGCTGTGGGCAGCGGACACGTCGCGGGGGCTCCCGTCGTGGCCGGTCCCGCTCCCCGTCCCGCCCGGCGGGGAAGGGCCGTCCGACCGCTCACCTCTTCTGCATGCCGTTGGTCTTCCAGCTCTGGGAGAGGACACGAGGCTGACCTCCCGTGCCTCGCATCCCCTCTGCCCGTGCACGCGAGCGTGAGCCACGATATCCCAGCCGTGAAAACGCACCACCTTGTCCTTCGCAGGGGCTGGCGTGCCCTCTCCCTTCTCCTTCCCGGCGGCCGATCGCTCCGAGCAAACCTCCTCCCTTAAACGCCCACACGATGCCACGCCCCAAAGGGAACCCTACTCACGCGCGGAGGCACCGGCTTGAGACTCATCGCTCACAACAAAGGGCCGCAGACAGTGCCCTTCAGGGACCGAGCGACGCTGCAGCATTAACCAGCCCTCCGTAGCCCTCCGCTCCAAACGACGGCTTTGCCCATGTCACCGCGAGGTGGATGGCGACGCGACTACAAGCTCCTCCTGCCTGTCTTTTCGTCACAGCCGGCATCGCTCCCCAAAGCCCGGCACATGACAGCCACATCCCTCAGCCAAGGGCATTAGCTATGGAAGCTCTTATTCTGAACTTGAGAAATCCCATCCCCACAATCTGCAGGGCCTGGGTACCGTCTAGATGAAGATTTATATCTCCGTGTCCCTGCTGCGGCCTTACCTTGACGGTGTTCCTGTCACTGATGAGGATCTGCTCCTCGTTGATGTAGAAATACACGGGGGAGATGACGGTGAGGTTGGGCGAGGACCACTTGTCAAAGTTGATGATGAGCTGGAAGGAGAAGTCGGGCAGCTTCTGGCAGATGGTGGAGAGGACGAAGGCGCAGTTGGCGGGGAAGCGGAGGAAGGCCCCGTCGAAGGTGCGGAAGACGCCGCCGCCCGCCGCGAGGCAGAAGGAGCTCCTGGTGCTGAAGCAGCCGCGGACGCCGTTGCGCAGGGCGCACTCCTCGTCCGATTTGCAGTGCCGCGGGTCGCACTGGATGAGGTTGCGTCGGAAGCAGCGGCACCGGCGGGTCCAGTCCCCGTTCCAGAAGAGCTGCTTGGGCTGAAAGAGGGACCCATCGCTGCTTGGCGGGCCCGGGGACCCCCGCCCTCCCCTCTGCGGATGCTCGGACCGAGGTTTACCCCCCTCCGGCGCACAGGACGCGAGAGCAGGAAACGAGGACAGAGGAAAAGGCTCAAACGACACGCAGGCAGCTGGCCGCATCTCTGCTACCCAAAGGCACGAGGCAACTGCACGTTTCCCATCGCCACCGCAGCATCCCTCCCCTCTCGCACACGCACAAAAACCACTGCCCGCTACGTACCTCCTCGACCTATTTCTTGCGGCCTGCCAGTTGCCAACCTGTCCGCTCGGGTCCCCGCACGACAGTACCCCAATACTGGCTGCTTAGGGGTGCGGGGCTTGGCAAAGACACCTTATACAGAGGACAGCTTCACCGACACAAAACAGGACCCGCTATAATATGAACCGTGCCAGCAGCGCGACACCCCGCTGACGCAAACTCCCCAGTCACATCCGACAGCTACACAACCGCCACTTTCCCGTGAACCAGTAAACCCGTCTCGCCTGGAATACCTGCGACAACGTGGTCGTGCGGTACCGGACTTTGGCGCTCACCTAAGGCAGTCTTCCCAGACATCGCCCTTTCCTCCCTGCCTCTGCCAGTTCCCTCCCCCCCGTGCCTGACACCCGCGTCACCCTCGCTCAACAACCCCGTGACAATTGTAGCAGACTGAAAGACTCGCTGCGCAGCAGGCCGTGGGAGGACGTCCCTCTCCTCTCTCTCTACCCACGGTGCTGCCGCTGCATCATCCCTCGCCGACAAGGCACATTTCCATCCCGAGCATGGTACCGGGCTCTCGCCTTGTGAAGTCCTACTGACTCCGCCTTTCCGCTTCTCTAGGAGATATAATTCCCACGGGCTGCTCAGACTGAGGCTTTCTGGCTCCAAGACGGCCTTCCTTGGACCGGAGCTCCGAAAGAGTGGCCCTGCGATGCTTGGGCTGGAAACGAGACTGGCGCGGGAGAGGCGCTTCTGGCGTGGAAGGGACCTGACCTGAGCGTGTGCTGGTGGTCAGAACAGAGCTGGACCCCGGCCTCAACGCAGCTACTCCTCCAGCAGGAGCAATGGCAATACGCTCTGCTGCTCAGAGAAGGACTTGGGACGCTGCGAGGCAGCTTGGCCCCAGCAAACACCCCACATGCCTCGCTAGGCAGGGCCTCGCTACGCGGCCCGCGTTCCCTCTCTCCGTCTCCGCTCGATGCACATCTGCCCGCTTTGCCCGTTGTTCCCCACCCCGTCTTGCTCGATGCGAACAGACCCGACCTCAGAGCGGCCCCCAAGCCTGACCATGGAGCGGCAGACACGTACGATGCCGCCAACCTGTCCCTCCAGGCTCAGCAGAGCGCTCTCTCTGACTGCGGCTATGACCCTGGCGAACGGACACAGCGCGACACCCGCTACCGGCCCGGCCGGGCCGCTGTCCCCGCTCTGGGCACGAGCCTCTGCCCGCCAATATCGGAAAGAGGGTGGCAGAAAGCCCCGAGAGAAGGACGCGAGCGGCGTACCTCGTAGTATTTGCCATCAGAGTAGCAGCCGCAGTTGTGGGGAAGGATGCAGCTCTTGCCGTTGAGGACGTACCCGGGGTCGCACTGGCATCCCTCCACGCAGTAGTGGCTGGGGGGGCTCTTCAGCCGGATGGCGGCACATCGGGGCTGGCACAGGGACACGCAGCTCTCATAGTGGCTGTTGGGGGGACAGCTGACGGCTGAAACGTTACCGGAGGACAACACGGACACGGATTAGCTCCCCGGACAAAACCCACCTGGTGGCCGGCCACGCGCGGGGCCTTAACGCCCACCGCTAGTGCCCCTGGGCAGCTCGCTCCTCTGCCAAGGTGGTGACCATGGCCCATGCTGCCGAGAGAGGGACTCCGACATCCCGGGCAAGCAACTGAAGGGAAAAGGCAGCCTCCGTCCCGCCAGCCTACTCTGCTTGCCAGCTGCCTAGCCCAAGCTGAACAATACTTCTCCGTTACTGGCCACTGCCTGCGAGTTCCCGCACCCCTGTTCCCCAAGAGCCCGTTTCCCCATGCTCCCTGCTCTCCCGCAAACGAGCCTACGCACTGACACCGGGTTAACCTCCGGGAGGTGGGACCGTGCTGGCCCTGAGACCGGCAAACGGAGCCTCCGTGCTCTCCGTGGGGGAACGCCTTTCGGGGGATGTGTTTTTGCCGGTCTGTCGGAGCGTGACGCCTGCGAGGGCTGCTGCCCGTGCCTGGCCAGGCCGCCTCTCCCCGCGCCCGTTTCGGACCCGGCGTGCAGGGTGCCCGGCGG